ATTAGAGGGGATCGTACTCGACACGGAAGCAAGGAGAGACGGGGTGGGTGTAGTACTGTTGCAGGACCAGGTACCCTCTGCCATCGCCACGTTCCCGCTGAAAAAGCTCCGGTGGTGCGAGTGCAGAGCATTTTAGATGACGTCAATTAAGCGGTGTCGTCTGTGGTTCGCTATACATCCTATTTCACGACATATCAAGAAATGTTACGTGCGGCAGGATGGAATATAAAAACTGAAAATTTTAATTGTTTACTCTTTCGGAGGCTTTTTGCACTCATTACTTACACAATTCATTTCTCTCTTATTTCCCAACGCCATCTCGCGTATGACAGAGCGCCGCTTTGTGTGTAGCTCGCAGTTCGTTGGCAATTAAGTTTGAATCGGTTACTAATCGATTAACGATTCAAAGGAATTTCTCTCGATTGTATGGAATTTGGCAAACGTCATTTTGTATCGATGATTAACTTCTTTCGCTGAGGGTGAATCAATTCACCGCTCCTTCATTTAGACGTTGCCGTTACCAATGGAGTTATGGGCTAATTATTAATCGCATTCATGATGCTCCGAAACAACCCATCCGTCAGTTGTCCTTATTGTTCCCCTCTGTGACAGAAGCTGCTCTTCTGGTTTGGTAGCGCCCCTTCCCGCGACTGAATGCCAACCTTTTCCAAGTTTGCATGGGGCCGATCGTGCAATTAACCGAACAAAATTATCGTGCAATTGGCGTAACATAACATTATGGAGTTTTTCAGTCACGAATGTCGTTGAAACTAGTCGAATGTGTGGGGGCTGACACATAGTTTTTTCAGACTGCGCCATTCATAATTTCGCACAGTTTTTAGCCTTTAAGCTCCACTTTGACGTCATTTCCTCAGTTTTTTTGTCCTAAGCAGTACTTGGTGCTAGCTGGTGCGAAGCGATTACGAGTCAGGGGATGATTGTTGCTGCCCAGGCCAGGTTATAAGCGGCAAATGAACCACTTCACCTACCCGAGGGTTTTTTCCCGGGCTACGGTCTTGTTCGTTAAGGATGCTGATGCTTTTCAAGGTGGGAACTGGGTTTGGCGGGCCGTTAGGCTTTTCTCCCCAGTCCTCCAGCCTGCACAATGATGGAGTATAGGGTCGCGCTAAATTCAGCTCCCCCCTGAAACGTTCCAGCGTTTCAGGGGGGGGGAGCTTTGAGAAACGTTCCAGCGCAGTGAAAAAAGAAGTAGGCGGTAGGTATGGGCACGATCGCCTGGGGCGGGCGGTTGTTGCCAGCGTCATTGGTGGAGAGGGCTTTTTGGTCACATCCCACTCAACCCTTCCACCAATGACGTTGGCGACAACCGCCCACCCTCTGCAATCGTGCCCGCTGCCTTCAAGCGCGAGTAAGTGGCTCACCAGCTAGTCAGAAGAGAGTCATTATTGGAGAAGTTGTGGGTGACGCAGGTGGGGAAGGGGGACTAATCGACAGTACCTCTGTGTTCCTCTACCTGAGCAAGGCTCTCTGCTAACTATTCTTCTCCTGTAACACTATCTTGGAAGTAATGTAGGACCGTCGCCATCTGGTCCCTCCCTCGAGTATTTTAGGGCCGATGTTGAGTACTGTCTGACACAGAATCTGGAATCTGCGGTAACCTGGTTGTGTGCTTCCATTTTATTTTACTGATCGGTAAAAGAATTGCTGGAAAGTCGTAAGAGTCAAATATGACTTCAAAGTTCATAAATATGCAGATTGACGTGAGAAAGATTGACGGAGCTCTTGAACAATGCAATGCAAGTTCTCGAGCAATTTTTGACTGGTTTGGAGCAGTGCGGTTGAGTTTGTAATTTGTAGTTTCAACTAAATCGAGAGAAATTCTGAAGCGAGCTGGAATATACGCATCCTGAGGAATACCTGATTAGGTCGATTTTTTCTGATCACGCTCATGTGAAACGCATTCGAATGGCCCGAGAAATACTTGTCTGAAAAAATGGATCTTTTCTTCGTGACGGTTGTTCTTTCGGATGAGTCACTTAACGCAGCTGTCCTCATTTTTTCGTCACCTCTACGTTTAGAGTCGTTTGCTCGACGGTCATCTCATAAATCTAGTCGGCAATCGATCGTAGTTCCCGCGGTCTCTTTGACCAAAAATTCAGTGCAGCGGTGAGTTTTTCTTTTTTTTTTTTTAAGAAAGCTTCTTAAGTTTTTTGACTGCCCATTCTGTCGATGAGTGACCACCCGGGTGTCTAAAGTAATGGTGGTAACTCACGTAGAACCGTTATTCTTTCTCATATTCATGCAGGTCCTACATTCCGTAGCACCTGATTCGCCAGAAAGCAGGACTTTTATTTGTTCTGTCCAGACGGAATCAGTTAGAGTCTTGGCTCTGTTTACCTTTTACAGCCTCACTTTTCGAAATAATGGTCAGATTTTGTCGGAATATTTCTAGAATATCTAAGCTGACTTTGCTGACTTTTAGGGGGAGGTAGTTTGCTCCCCCGGACACGAATATATGTTTGGAGTGAGAACACCCAGAGCTCGTCTCATAATCCCAGTGCTGCAACCCAATTTTGACGCCGACGCTAGTGACGTGGACACTTGGCATTTTCGTGCCGAGCGAATATTTCATCGGGCCGAACTGCTTCTTTGGAAGCAATTATAGCCACATCTAAATCGATGAAATTAGTTCCAGACCTGCATCTAGGAAATTCTGACAGTAACGGCCCTACCACACTCGAATCGGCTTGGGTATTTACTCGGTCTTTTCGCTGCAGATGATGGGGCGTGTCAAGGGGTATGTCTTTGGCGCGGTGCCAGTCCGTTATTTTCTTTCAGCATGCTACAAGAGTGTATCGTATCCTATCGGTCTTCCATCAGTTGTTGGTGCTTGTCCGCTTTGACAACTGGCGAAGAATGAACTGGCTGCGTGACAAACTTAGCCTCAACACGCCCCCCGCCCACCTCATCGCAACAAGACTGTATTTGCACTGTTGCTCAGGGATATGATCAATGCTTTGAATTTCACAATCTTAAAGCGGCTGATTCATTGCATAGCGCTATAACGGTGAAAAACCAGTTTCTATGGCGCGCTTTGTTCAGCCAGTGCGGCCTGGTCGATCACCTTGAATTTTAATGTGCTGAAATTCAATTTACTTGATAGACAGCATTAAAAATCAGATAACGCATTTACACTTTTCAGGAATATGCCTAAATGCCATCTTTAGTAGCATTCGGGCGCAAGTGGAATATTGCCAGTGACGATTTTGTTTTTCCTGAATTAACTGAGGCTCTTGTACGACTATCATGGTGAGCTTTTTGGAACGTTCTCATTATTTTCTCCATTAATGTCAATCGAAATTTGACGCCGTTCGGCTTAGGAGTGACATTTTGCTGCACTTTCGCTGGTTCCTTTTGCTGGTCCAGAAATTGTTCCAGATGAAAGTTTGGTTATGGGAATTTACAGGTGGTCTGTGCATGCTTCACTAAGTACTAGCTGTTGCTCCCACCAAGCCGAACTGCGCCCAAAACTTTAGTGGCTAAAAAATATGGGAACCGCTTCGATTTTGTGAACCATAGGTCGAAATTTTCTTCATACTGGTTACTCACATTCACTACGGTGTGACATGAATTTCTTCTCTGGACATTGCCAAGTTGTTACAGTATGAAAGCGCGCGATGACGTCATGTTCTAACGGCGAGGCAATCTTTCTCCGCGCCAATTTCGCAGCGAATTTTGCAATCGATAAACCATGAGAAGCTCATAACCTACACAGCAACAACAAATCAGTACTTGGAGGGGGAGGGAGAGGAATCCACTTAACCAAGTCGTATAGGGTAAATTTCTTTTTTTTTTCGCGAAGTTCGAACGCCATGTGCCTTTCTTCCCGGCCATTTCTACCCTACGCCATACCATCACTGCAGTACTAATATAAGGTTGTTATTACTACTAGTAACCAAAAATTGTCTTTTTAATCATATGGACGAAAACCTTATTTCTTTCAAGGATGGCATTCGCGTTTGCCGTTTTCATCCTCCATTTTCCCTTATCGTGTACAGGAAAGGATATGACATTACCATTACTGACCCTGTTATTCATCAACGGTGTGACAGTTGCGCTAGGTGAGAGTCATAGGTTTTTCTGTTTTACATTTTTTTTAGTTTCCCCAGTCGTTTCCAAGTTTTTTTTTAATTCCGAATAGATCATCGAGTGCGCTTTTTCCAGCGCTCTCGATGGCAGGAATCTCGGCAAGAGGTTCGATTATGCATCCGTATCCTAGACGTCATGTAGCAACTCTTTTATACATACGATTACCGATATTTATTATTGAAATTGTACTAACTGCTTTTTCAACAATAAACGCTTTTCGTAAGTTTCCACTGATTACTTTTCATTGTATAGGCTTAATTATCGCGTGAATAAGTCTAGGACCGGATCATCCTGACTCTGCATGTCACTTTTCGAATATCCTAAAAGTAACGGTAGCCTTGGAATGGTTGCTGATTGTGAGCGTCTTTGTCGGAGTTCTTGTCGTATTTAATACAGTCGATGACGATAGCCTGGAAGACACTTCTGCCATCGCACGGAGAACGTGGTCAAGAAGATTTAAGATCGTGAGTTCGTTCTCTTGCATAGAGTCCTATGGGCTCTTTTTTTGATCAGAGCAGCTATAGAGTGATGTGCGATATAATCTGTTTACAAGACCATAAATTAAGGAAAAGAGGTGGGATAGAGTACTTCCAAGAAGTTACATCTGTCGGCTCCGTGAATGCACGCAGTTAGACATACCATAGTAGATGTACGTCTTACCATCCGGGGGAGGGGGGAAGTGGGGTAGTTTGTACGTTCGACGCACTTAGGCACTCAGTTTTATGCACAATTTGGGAAAACGTATCCAGTCTGTTTTTTTTTCCAAATTTATGGTCTAGTGATCTGTTTGTTTCTGTGGTCAACTTATACCATTGAGTTGCCATTTTCCTCGGCAGAAAGTTGATTAACTTAATATCGGCGCAATCGGGGACGGTGTCAGGGAGCGTACAACCCCGTCCCCGGCTGTGTTTCTGTAGTATTGGTTTTATTAAGAAACAACCAGTGGTAGGAAACGCCACGCGTGCGCTCATTCAACGCCTCCTGACACCGACCGGACTGATTGCGATGACCTCAACTGTAAGCAGCGATATAATTTCGACGATGCGGTTCAAGAGACCCGAATCGAACCATCGCAAACCAGTTAGTGCTCCTTTATTACTAGGTTGTCTGGAAAGTTCTCAGCGTTTTGAGTGTTTCACTTTAAGCGATCATAACCTTGATACTGATCCAATCGAAAGAACAAGGCACCCGTTCGAATCAGCACACTTTTGCCAATGTGACAGCAGTCGAGAAATCCCATCAAAGAAAAAACTGGGTGGTCGAGAATCAAATCCACGAAGGCTTTTTTGCCTGGTCCTGATTGATGAAGTATTTTCCAGCAAGGGAGTTCTGAAAATGTTTGAAAAGGTGATAGTCGGTTGGTGAAAGGTCTGAGAATATGGCGGGTGAGGTAGAACTTCAACCCCCAATTCGTTCAATTTATGGATAGTGATTTGTGAAACGTGTGGGGCGTTGTCATGCAAAAGAATCGGACCCTTTCTGTTGACAAGTGCTGGCTGCAGCTGACGCAATTTTCGGTACATTTCGTCGATTTCTTCACAGTAGGACTCTGCTGTGATGGTTTGGCCTGGTGACAAAAAGTTATAGTGGATCACACCAGCCGATGACCACACTGTGACCATAACCTTTTTTTCGTGAGGATTCGGCTTTGGAAATTGCCTCAGGGGTCCGCCGGCATCCAACCACTGTCCGGAACGTCTCCTGTTATCATACATGATCCACTTTTCATCACAGGTGACAATTCGGTCCAAAAACGGGTCGTTTCTGTTGCGCAAAAGCAGTGAAGAAGAAACGTGCCAATTTCTGCCGGTCACTCAAATTGTGGGGCACCCACTTGTCGAGTTTTTTCACCTTCCCAATGCGTTTCAGACCATCCGCAACAGTGGATTTGCCAACGCCTAGCTTTTCTGCAATCTCTCGAACTGTTTGGGATGGGTCAGCCTCCACAAATGCCTTCAAATCCTCGTCAGGTATTGCTTTAGGTCGACCGCTACGAGGTTCATCTTCAAGGCTGAAATCTCCAGAAACGAACCATTGTCGCACGGTGCTTTCTCCAACACTATTGGGCCCCCACACCTGGTTAATTTGTCGAGCTGTCTCGACTGCGGATTGACCCAATTTGTAGTTGAAGAAAAATATCGTCCGAAGTTGCTCTTTTGACATGCTTGAAAAATCTTGAAAAAAGGGGTTTATCAAGCAATGGTGAAACGGCAATTATACCATCAGATAGCGCAAAGAATTCTCTTCAGGATGTACTACTGAGACGCAAGGGAGAATGAGTTTTTAATCAGCAATGAATGTACAAAAAATAGTAACACAAAACGCTGAGAACTTTCCGGACAACCTAATATTTGGCTAATTTGATCATGGCCGCTTCTTCCTATGCCATTTCTTCCACTCATTGTCTTAAGAACCCATCGTCGCTCGGTTGAGCTCCTTTGATTTTGAGTTTTGAGGATCGCTGGAAGATTGGGTGACTTTCTATAATTAGACCTTTGAATAAAAGACATGATGAGGTCCTGAGACGGTAAACTAGTAGAAAGACTAACCAGTTATTGATTCATTGACTCAAAATCGTGAAATGAATGGAAGAGGGAACAGGTTCTCATGACCTAATTGATTTAACGCCAAGCTAATTTGTAAAGTCAAGTAGCTCTGATTGGTTCGTTTGCAATGCCGAGACTCAAATCTCCTGGACTACGCCCTTATTTCCACACTTATGTATTAATTTCGCTTGCTCTCTCTTCTATCGAGGATGACTGGTGCTTATAGAGACGTTTCTCTCATTTCAGAAAACATGTCGTGTGGATTTCAGACAATACTTTTTGTTACATTTTTAGTTCACGTTTCGACAAGATGCTACGATGAGGGCTGCTATGGAGGACCTAGCGAGTTTAGTGAGCTCGTTCTTCTCCGATATTGATGTCGTCCTCAGCGATGTTGCCGCTGGGCTATTTCTTCTCGCTCACTCACCTGCTAACGTTTATCCACCTATAATACCAGCAAGCGATAGTGAGTTTCGACATGAAATTTTGTATTTTATTGCTCTTTGTTTCATCATTTCTTCCCTTTGACGCTGGAAGCAAGGGGGGGGGGCATTAACAGCTGCACATAAGACTGCGTTCATACCTAGCGACAGCGTTTTGAGCCTTGCGACCGACTGGATTCATTACAGCTGAAAACACTCGTTCAGCTCAAAAGCTGGATCTATACCCATAATTTCCTAGTCGCTCGAAAGACCAAAAAACTACCACAGGCGCTCAGAACGCTCCTCAAAGTATGAGAGCCAGCTAGTTGAGCCCAGTGTTATCCAAACAGAAGTGCCGTCCTTACAGCTAGTTTAGGGCTTCCGGAGCTCCTCGTCCTTTAGGATCCAGATATTCTTCTCCATTATGGTTGTCCTGGATCTGCACTGGGAGTTCTTTCCTACACCCTGCCACCTTCCCCCAATCCCAAGAAAAACATTGGTGCCCACTTTTTGTTGCTCTAATGCTCTCCCATTTACTTTTTGGTTTTTTTTTATACGTAGATTGTTGGAATATAATCTTTGAATGTGAGCGCGCAAACCTTTTTCTCTTCTCCAGTGGTGTTATCCCATAATTATAGGGGCTTTGTGGGCAGAAGTGTAGTGAAAAGTGGCACGCTTACTGCTCGCGCGATGCGGCGGTCGAATCCCGGCTTCTGCCTTAGTCGGCCAAGCCTTCTACACTCCGCAAACGGTAAATTGGTGAAGGATTCGTCTGGGAGGATAAGAGCACTGACTTGTACATCGGCTGGCCCTCGCAAGTCATTGTATAGGCCACATCGCATTCAATAAGCCACTACGATTCTGAATGGAAGTAGATGCGTGCCGCATCTCAAAAAGGGATTGGTCGACGGCGTAGAATTTATACTTTTATTTTGTGGTGACGATATGCTGTTGCAGAACGTCCTGACTGGATGACAGTGGAAAATGCATTGCATTTCCAACATTTTTCTGCCTGTGTCTATGGATGGCCGACGTATTTGCTTCACAACTGTAGTTTGAAGTCAGTATATCGTCTGTTTCGTAAGATGCAGTGCTGCGGACAACTACGGTGTGATCAGGTAAGAATTGTTTGAGTTCTTCGGGCTATGGCGTGCAGAATTCGCTGAAAAACTACAACCTTTGTGGTCTTTGTTACATTGGGATTTGTATGAGTCATGTACTGTGGCTTGTCGATTGACTAGTTTGGAGTGATTGTCAGCGATGTATTATTGCGTGCATGAAGCATAAATCGGCCGGGGGGGGGGGGGTATAAGCCCTTTCGCCTCTTGTAGTACCGAACCATCAAGTAGAGATTTGTGAAATCTTCGAAGCCGTGAAGTTAATCTAGAATTTTGTAGAGAACACTTGTGAACTCACGTAAAGGATACCTTTCAACTCTTGTAAAGCAATGAACAGGTCGATGGGAAGTGGCAAAGTGCAACACGTCCTTCCCTCCCCCCCCCCTTTCAAAGCCGAACCGCATTAGATCGAGTTTTTCCCGCTCTTAAACTTTTCTGAATCCAGTTACTGGTATCTGTTGGACTGTACTTGAACCAAGTAGTAGTCTGCATGGCGTGCTATTCGTATTCAGTGCCGTTCTTTCCTACAAATTTCCCTGAGTTTTGCCTTTGTTAATCCATTGAGCACCTCTGCAGAGCGTTCTATGAACTTCTTGCAATAGGTGAAAGCAAACTATTTCCCCAGTAGTTGAAGGAAAACAGCTACAATGGCCTATAATGTCCGAGAGGGCTGTCCAGGAGTCATGTGTCAACCAGAAGATCGTTTATTACAAGTAGTATAAGAAAGAGGAGAGGTTGCCACAGTGAAAGTTTGCTGAGGAAGGTAATTTACTGTTTGTTGAGCTCGATGTTATATTAGCGAAAACTCTCTTCGTCGCTATAGCCATGTTTCGAGAGCCTCTCCTGATCTCTTCAGGTTTTCTCTACCTAGGTTCAAATTGCTTCCGTTTTTTTTGAAGGCTCATTACGCGATTTTTTTGAAGGCTCATTAGGCGATCGCAACTTGTAGATGGGCTCAATTGTGAGTTTGTGGATAGCTGGCTTACCCGAGAAGAGAAATAAGTTAATATAAGGCACAAATGGTAGAATAAAAGCCTGAAGCTGAACAATTGATGAATGGAGAGGATATTCAGCGCAGAGTGGCAGTTCCCGCCAACACTGCAAGGCCATAGGCTCAAGTAGCAGCTCCGAAGGTCGCTTATTTTGCTAAGATCCCATTCCGATTGCCGCAGACACGGTACGAGGAAAGTACAGAGGTAGTCTAGAGGCTTTATAGAGTAAGCTCAATGTCGAGAGTTTAAGGGGTGTAGGTCGTTAGTTCCATGTTGCGGTGACCCGTAAAATTTTGCGAAACATTTACTTGCTGGTTGACTTGACACATGGCTTTACCGCCATGTTAAATCACTTTGGTCCTGTTGCGAATGTCGCACACGGTTCGAAGCGCCTATTTCGCCGCCCTGGCCGCGATTTAAGTGACCACATGGCAGATTCCAAAACTGTTCCTTCGCCAAGAGCTTCCAGATAGGTCTTACTCTCGTATACATGTTGCTAATATCTCTTTACGTGGGTCTAACAACTGCATAACGTTTCACCCTTTGTTTCGAATGATTACACTCACAGACCTATTCATAGTAATTGTAGTAACTTGTAAATTTTACATGTTTTTACAGTCGTTATAACTGAGCTGAGTCGGGGGACATCAATGGGGCGTGAGCTTTGGCGCGACGTGAGTTACTTTGCCCTCTACTCGTTGACCGCGCGAAATAGCCTCGATCGATGAAATATGGATTGACACCGCGCCAAAAAATCCGTGCTTCATTTACACGCCCCGGATGACTTCAGTGATAACGAATGTAGCTTATCAACATAGATAGTTCCTGTCAGTGTGCTTAACCCTTGCTTGTGTCGTTAGTCGTTATTGTACTAGAGTAGCGCTTTCTAGAAGGATCACGGTGATCTGGCTATGCATAGCCTTCGTAGCGACCGCGATACTGACGTCGACCAGAGCGGGCAGTCCCAAGCCAAGC